TTGAATTATTCTTAGAGCATCCGCATTCTGTCAGCACTGCTTTAATGAGTCTCTCGCAAGCGCAATGAGCTCATTTTCTCGGACAGTCCTCTTTCTCGAGTTGTTTTTCTAATAGTACAGCTCATCGTTATTAGGACTTGAGCAACCTATCTTTTGGTTTTGAACTTTGTTGACATGCACAGGACGACTGGTCGTCGCCTCTGAGCGATCCAAAGTTAAATTTTTGAATCCACCCCCTTGCGGGAATGGAGTTTTCATAGGTCCTAAACGAGAGTGAACTGATATTCTCTCGTTTTGGACTTGTGCAGTTCTGACAGGTGGGTGTTTACGACCCCCTGCATATGAAACCACCAAGGGTTTGTTTACAGGACTTGGATTTTCTTCAACTGAGGCTTTGCCTCGATCGTTAGCCGAAGGACCGAGGCGATCTGCCATGGTGATCTTGAACTTGGACAAATCTGGGCTAACCCAGGGTTTTACCGGTGACGCAGTAGATGGACCCGGAACGGATTTTTGTGGCGCCTTCGGAATCCAAACCTTGCGGTTCTTCGGTGGCTTTTCAGACACCGTCTCCTTCTTGGTTCCTTGTGCTTGTTGACGGAGAGCATGAGCACGGGCGGCCTTCGCTTTACGCCTTTGTATCCGTTCCTTGAGGGTTGAACGGGCCCTTTTGACGAGAGTCCACTCCTCCGTCGTAAGTTTTGCAGAAATACAATTATTTTGCCGTTGGGGCAATTGAACCGCTTTCTGTTTCCTCGACTCTAGGTCCGCATAGTAATGGACCCCGTCGGTTTGTTGCATGGCCTTAGCCAATTGTCGAGCACGGCGCTGACGCTGTCTCTGACGAGCTCTCTTCGTCAGCACCGGTGAGCTATTCATCATCGACTCCTTAAGGGGTGTGGAGTCGTTTGAAGCAGGGATGTCGCAGGCGGATTCCTTAGCAGTAATCGGGTGGGAACCTTCACCTGCGTCCTTCATAGGCATTGCAGACTTAAACACTTTCTTGGAGGACGAAATCTTCCTATATTTGCGAGACGAGGAAGATTTCGCGGATGAGGACGACAAGTACTCCTCAAACTTCGCCTGATCGAACTCATATTCGATCTCTTCATTAACGATGATCTTGATCGGTTGCGACACCGCGGCCTCGGCAGCGAGGCCGCTGGCTCCCACTGTGGTCGCCAGTTTGTTTTCAGCAAAAGTTGGAATTCTGTTGTCGAATTCAGTATATCTTCAGGTTGATTACAATAAAATTCAAGAGGAAAACAGCCTTTTTATAAGACTCTTTTACACAACAATAAAAGAAAACTTACAACTCTTGAGAAAATAAACGCGAGGATCGTTGTTTGGATCACTCTTTCGTGGGTTCTTGGCGTGCTGCCGGAGCGCGTTAGCTCGTGGACCAGCCGAATCACAAAATCGTGAAGAGGGGTTTACTGATTCCTTTCCTTTCGTTATCGAAGTAGAAATTTTGAAACGATAATCTTATCGAAGAAGATAGTCGTTCTTCTCCTGAAATCAAGTCAAGCGCTGGAATGTCAATGGATTGCTCCAACGAAACTATACGGCTCTGGCTCTTCTCTGCTCATGGAAGCTCCTAACACCCGATGCGTCGATGCTCGTCGAGAAACCGACCCCTAGGGGGTCGGTATTTTATAGCCTCAGGGTGTCTGTAACTGCAAAAACTCAACAACTGGTCAGAAATTAGTACGCGAGACAGTGTTTACTGTCTCGCTGGGCGAGGTCAGTTGGTTTGCTGTCTCGGCCCGCCGAGACAGTAAATTTTCCTTGTCTCGCCCAGCCGGAGACAGTTAAATACGATGTCTCGGAAAACGACAGCTTTCTCGCGGTTTCTGTAACTCGTTCTCCACGTGTTCAAACTCGTTATTTTGGCCAGGTTATCCACGTGATTTTCGCCCACGATGTTCAGGCCCACGTCCTTTGCGTAGTTAATGGGACACGGGTAGGGTAGTTAAAAGTTGGTTTTGACCATTTCCAACACTGTCTTCGCTGGCTGGCGAGACAGCAAACACTGTCTCGCTGGCGAGACAGCAAAGCATGTCTCGCTGGCGAGACAGCAAAGCCTGTCTCGCTGGCGAGACAGTTCATACCTGCTTTGATTTTCTTAAAGCAGTATGAGGTCCCTTTGAGTGATTTTCTCTATGTCTGGGATATCTATTAGCATTTTTTGACGCCTACATGTATATATTATGGGATGAAGTGGATATGTTTGTACAAATTGGCGCTATGCCTCGAGTTTTTACGGTTCTTGTATGTGTAACTGTGTGGAAATGTATTGCCAAAAGCTTAAGTTTACAGGTCTTTCATTAGTTGAGACTAGTGCAAGATTGTTTGAGATCAACCATTGCTACAGTATCATTCCTTTTGCATCTGTTCATAACCACACAGGAGCATGTTTTTTTTGGGAAATATTCTAAAATTTTTGGTTAGTTGCTGTTTTCAGAGTGTAGAATCATGGCTGCTTGTATATAAGAGATGGAAAGGCAAGGTTTTACTCCGAATTTAAGTCTATATGGGTACATTTTCTTTTCTGGCACATATCATATGAGTGCCTGTTTTTTTTCTGTCATACTGATTTCAATTTTTAGATTTTGAGTGAATGGGATTTGGTATGTTTGAGGACGGAAGTATGTTCAAAATTGTAAGTCCTTGGACTGCATCACTCTGTCAATTGGGAATTTGAATTTATGTGCAGAAAGTAAATGATGCAGAAAGTAGATGATGCAGCAAACATTTTCTCAGATGATGCAACCATCTATTTAGCAGCAAAAAATTTGTGATCACACACTCAAGTACCAAATTAAACCAACCAATTTAGCAACCATCTATAATGATGCAGAAAGTAGATGATGCAGAAAGTAGATGATGCAGCAAACAATTTGCCAAACAGTGCCTTGTTTCTCAACAGCAACCAATTTAGGAACCGGAGCTGCATTTGATCACACACTCAAGTACCAAATTAAACCAACCAATTTAGCAACCATCTATAATGATCAAATGCTCTTGTTTCTCCACTGATGACTAGCAAAAAAACATTACACCAAGTTGATAACTATCAAAACTATTACAGAACTATCACAAACATTACAGAACTATCACAAACATTTAGTAGGAAACAGCAGCAGCCTTAGCGGTGATCAAATGCTCTTGGGGTCGCGTATCTCCGCTGCCCATTTGCCCCATAGCTGCATATATACAATAACATTTACAAATAAAAAACTACTTATATATATTTGCAAGCAGGAAAATGAAATCTTAAGGACTCAACAGTATAAACAGATACTTTATAAAACAAAACGAATCAAATGTCTTTAAACCTGTAAACAGTGCCAACCATTCAGCTGAAACTGACCTGTAAGAATTCGGTTCATAAACTAAATGTTTTCGTACCTTGATGAAACTTCACGCAATAGTGAGAACTTCATCTGTATTAACAAACATTAAAAAACAAAGTCATTCATCACATTAAAAAAACACATTATATTAAAAAATGGCTTCATCAATATTATCTTGTAAATCACATTACCATCCTCAAAGGAATCCTCTAAATCATCAGTGGCTTCATCAATATTATCTTGTTCCATTGAATCACTACAAAAAAGTGATGATAGCAAAATATATTAAAAGATCATTGCACCAACTTAAAATAGTTTAAAAAAATAATAGCATTAGTATTACTCTCATAAATGATACACTACCTTGACAACTTTAGAGGGCAATTTCTGCTATCATGATTTTGTCCTCGCTTTCCACACAATTTGCATTTCCTCGGCTTGCATTTGCGGATCTCTCTTGATGGCTTTAACCTCTTCCCTTTAGGCCTTCCTTTTGTTCTTGCTTGACTTGGTTCATGAACTACATCTTGAGAACACTCCGCATTCATATAATGTCCTTCCACATCTTGTCCAATTTCTTCATCATTGATGAGTTTCAAACGTTGCACCTTATTAATAGCATCCATCATCATTTCACGCATTAATTCATATGCGTCATTAGAAGAAAGCCCCTCTTCGACCATTTCATTAGCTAAGCAATTTAGTTCACTAAAACGAGAAGCAAAATTAATTGTGGCATTATCTCCAATAATATTACCATCTCTAAGAACAACCCTTTTTCTGACATTTCGGCACCATCTTCTTAGAATATATTGCTCCGGTAACTCACTATGATTGGTAATTTTAAGATATGCCAAGATATGTCAGCATGGAATGCCCTTGAATTCAAACATGAGACACGAACAACGGACCATTTTAGTTGTTTTGCAATATATAATATGTCTCAATCTTTCATCATGACCACAAAAATTCAAATGGAAAGTACTTTCTCTTTCATTTTCTTTTACTAGCTCAATGTTATACATTAAGCTAGGTTGAAGCTCGTCTTGAAAAATATAAAAGATTTTTTTCGTGTAGATTTGGGCCATTTGTTTTTCCATTGACCATAAAGTCTTTAATTTTGGCTTTTTCTCTACTGTGCAATGATCTTCTTTAAGCTCCCCCTCTCTTTGTCTCGCCAAGACCCTCTGAAAGATGGTCACGAAATCATGAAGTGAATTCTTCCTTGATACATGCATTTTTAGCAATGCATTCATCCCTTCACTTCTTTGACTGCTAGACATTCCAGCCCAAAAAACCCAATTCTCTTCAAAAGAGCTAGCAGTCTCGGAGTCCCAAATAATTTCTTTGAAAGATTTCATAAATTCTGTACTATAAGCCCATTTACCCAACTTCTCCGGGACTTTGTCCAAGATATGCCAAATGCAAAACCTGTGCCGAATTTCTGGAAAAACTGTTTCAATTGCCTTGCATATGCCAAGACATTGATCTGTAATCATGCCCGAAGGAGGATGACCCATTGCTTCAATCCATTTGTTAAACAACCATACAAAAGACTTTGCCTCTTCGTTTGGAATAAAGCCACATCCTAAAAAAACACTTTGGCAATGGTGATTTACTCCTACAAACGGCACAAATACCAAGCCATATTGATTTGTGTTATGCGTGGCATCGAAGGAGACAACATCGCCAAAGTGTTGATAATTCATTCGAGCAATGCCATCCACCCAAAAACAATGAGTTAAGCGCTTCTCTTCATCAACTTCATAAACATAATAAAATGAAGGATTCTTCTCTTGTTCCGACTTGAAATGATCCAACATCATTTGTGCATCATGACTGCGCCTCTCCTCTCTCAAATATCTTTCATAATTTCTCACATCGGTCTCAATGCATCCAACTCTATGAAAACCTCCGCTAGCGTTTTCAAAGTAGGCCATTTGCTTGTTTGTTGGAATGTTCACCTCTCCAAACTGCTTTATCAATGTCTTTTTTGCACTTGTTACCTCACGGTTTCCCCTTAGAAAATGTGTTCTACTCGGCGAAGTAATTGTATGATTATGTTCTTCCACGAACTTGTAGACACTCCATTTGCCAATGTTTTTGTCTAATTTCAAGCGAATCAAGGCCTTACAATTAGTTCTAATTGTACCACATCGTCGAAGTGCTATTATGGATATCAAAACCTCCGGCCTTTCCGTAATTTTTGTAGAATTTTTCAGCGTCTTCTAAATTGCCGAAAGTCATTCCTAGTTTTGGTTTTAAGTGTTCATCAACAATTGGCACAACTAAGTTATCTAACTGAGATATTTGTTCATCAACAACATGGGAGCAACCATCTTCAGTTTCCATTGGATCAGACATCAAGAACAAACGTCAATAATAATTTTTACCTACAAAAATAAACATCAACAACAAACAGTTATTCAAAAAGTAACAGCTTTACAGAAACAATGAAACAACGAACGAGATTTTCAACAGCAACAATGAAACAATGAAACAACAGTTATTCAAAAATAATTTTACAGTTATTCAAAGATCCAGTAAATAGCTATAAATCAAAGTCCCTAAAACAAATAAAGGATCTGAACATCAAAATTTCAAAAACAACGAAATTTCAACAGCCTGCTGATGCTTCTATTGTTTGAACGAGTAAAAATCAAAATTCTCCTAAATCGATTCACTTTCACATACAACAAATCCTATATATTTTCAAATTCCCTAAAACATCAAATTCCACAATCAAAAAAGGCCTAAACCAAGCAAAAATCAAAACGCACCTAGGAGTGTCGGAGCGGAGTCATGGGGGCGGGGTCGGGTCGCGGAACCGGAGCTCGGGTCGGGGTGTTCACTGCCGCGCGGGCGTGTTCGCTGGGTGTCGGGCCGGCGTCGGAAACAGAGCTGCGTAGGGGTGTTCGCTGGGCCTGGCGGGGGCGGACACGCGGAGCTGGGTCGCGGGTCTGCGGATCGGAGATGGAAAGAACGAAGAAAGACTGTAGAGGAAGGAGGCGGTCTTCGACGGTTCTGGCGACGGGAGGAGGAGGGAGGAGCGCCATTACTCTACGCCGGGGGGGGCCGGGCGTCGGCGGCGGCGGGCGGATGCCCGGGCCTTCTCGCCGCCGCTCTGCCTTCGTCTTCGCTCACCTCCCGGTCCCTGTGTCTTTTCCGCGTGTCTGGCGGGCCCCGCCCCCCGCGGGGCTCCACGGCTGTGGCAGACAACCAGGTCAATGGGCGAGAAGAGGGGGAGGAGACGGAGGGCCAATGGGGAGAGAGAGGGAGAGTGTTTGTTTTGGGGGGCAGAGAGCGGGGTGTGGTGGAGTCATGTGGGAATAGGTTTTAATGACTCCTCTTCCAGTTAAAATCAATTATCGATCGCGGAAACTGCAAAAGACCCACCTTTTTCGCAGCGTGTTAGGTCCAGCTATTTAGAAGTGCGAAATCTTTCGCATGCCGAAGATTGCCTATAATATACTATATATATATATATATATATAGTATATATTATACTATAGTATGATATAATTACGTGTATAATCATATAGTATATATAATAATAGGAATAATTATATATGCAAGCAAGATAATAATAAATCTCAAAACTAGATTAGCACAAAAAGATAACTTGGATCTTTAACTCAAGGGATTAGACCTTAAATCAAAGAGCACCAAGCTCTGATACCAATTGTTAGACCCTAATGCCACTAGGAAAGAACCCTAGAGGGGGGTGAATAGGGTTTATGCTAATCTAATCCAATTTAAATGTCAATTAAAACTTATTAACAAATATATTCTTGCAAGATAGGTATACAACTAATTATGAGCAAGAATATGCAATATGAACAAAGGGCTATATCCTAGCAATAAGCTATACTATGAGATATATGTAAGGATATACAAAACACTCAAGGATAAACAAACTAAACTAGATAGTGGATTATATAAACAATGAGCAATATACAAAGGCGATATAAGATATGAACATAAAAAATAAGTGCGCCAATGCAATCACAAACAAACGATATGTTCACGAGCTTCGGTCCCCACGACCTACGTCCCCACTCCTCACCTCGAGGAGATCTCCACTATCACACCGGATTTTCTACGCTTACCCAAAAAGCGTTTACACCTCACAATACGGTTTTTTAGCTAACCGAAAACTTTACAATCCACACTCACAATGTAACTACACTAACTACCACCTCAAGTATTGATCTCTAGCCCGTGTCTCCCTCAAGTGTTAAGAATTACAACCTATCTCTAGGCATTACCATCTACCCCACTCCTCTTGGGACGACCCCGTCTCTCACCACACACTCCTCTTGGTGTACTAGTGTATTACAAGGTGAACCTCACAATTTAAGTACAAATACAAAGTGTTTGTTCTCTACAATGGATGAGAACGAATTATAAGCTCACTCTCTAAGTCACACAAACTCACAACCCAATTACACAATGTATGCAAATACAATAAACTTAATGGTTGTGTGTGTACAAAGAGATAAAATAAATCAAAACTAAACTCAATAAAATTCTAGCTTAATAACAATGATAATCAAATATATAAAAGAGATAGAGATAGAGTTTAGAAAAATTCTCAATAGATCAAGAGATAGAGGGAGAATAGTTGAATGCTCAAACTCCAATAGATGATCTCCTCAAGCTCTTGTAGAATTGATTTCACAAACTCAAACCCTCAATTGCTTAAAAGCTTCTAAACAAACATTAAACAAACTTAAACCCTTGTTTAAAACTCTTTTAAACTTGTTTAAAATATTTCATTAGTTAATATGAAAGATGAGAGCAAGAGGGGTATTTATACCCATTCAAAACTTTAGCAAAAACCCCAAGAAAAAGACCAAAAACCCATAAACAAACAAAACAGAAAACTAGTCGTTACTGTGCAACGGCTCTCTAATAAGTCGACTTATGAGTCGACTTATATGAGTTGACTCAGCAGACAAAAAGAACACAACTGGACAGCACTTCATAAGTCAACTTATGAGTCGACTCATGAGTCGACTTATGAGTCGACTTATAAGTGCACAAACCTGAAATGCACAGAAAAACTTAACTTTAAATCATGTTTAAAAATATCAAATAAATTCCAAAAATTGTAAAATTTGGGGAATAGTTTATAAACATGTTAATTAACATGTTACAAAAAGAATTTTTGGAATTGCACTTCTCAATAGTGAAAACTCATTATTTTACAAAACTAGTTCAAAACATGAAAGGTTGATATACATGAAATTTGATGTTTTAACATAAATACAACTTTGAAATATTTTCAAACGTTCTTATAGACTTAATAAAAGATGTATATCATGATTGTTAAGTCCATAAACAAGAATACAATATTTTCTCAAAATTGTATTTTCTATGCAATATATTCTTAAACAAAATAGAGTATGAAACATATGATTATATATATGAATGTAAATTTGTTTCATGTCTATATAGTTAAACCAAAACACAATAATAAATATGTAGTCTCATATTTATAAGCATGAAAACTTAAAACTATGTATGTATATATATATAACTATATATATATAAACATATCTGTATATGTATGACTACATATACATAGAAACCAAAAACTAAAATATGTATATATATAACTATAACTAATATATATCTATATAATATATTATAATATATTATATATATATATATATATATTAATATTATAGTATATATATATAGTTGGTCCATATATATATATATATAATAATATATATATATATATATATATATATATTAATATATATATATATATATATATAATATATGAAACATATGATGTATAATGTATATGTATGACTACATAATACAAGTAGACCAAAAACACTGCAGAACTCCTAAGGACTAAAATATGTATATATATAAATATTATAATATGTATAAAAACATATGTATATTATATACCAAAACTAAATATGTATATGTATAAACTATATGTATATATATATATATATATATATATAATAGTATATAATATATATATATATATATATATATATATTATATATATATATATATATATATATATAATATATACTGTATATATATATATGAAAACCAAAACTTGTGATATATATATATATAACTATATATATACAAGGAAACCAATATAATGTGTGTGTATATATGATTGAGCTTAAACTACTTAACACACATAATAGAAAACCTAAACTAAATGTTACCCAAGCTTGATTGATCTTCGATGTAGCTCAACTTGGTACACTTGCGGATGAAGCTAGAACTTGGATCTTCAATTTGAATTGCATAGGCTTCACTCCACAATTCCGCCAACCTCCATTGGATATGATCGTTGAAGCGTAATTCCATTCATCCTCCAACATGTTGTTTGTCTACAATAAATAAAATTATACAAACACTAGGCAAATAACATTAGAAGTAAATTGTTTGTTAAACATCATCAAAATAAGAAGGCCAACAAGATTACGACCCAGCATGAAAGTGCTAGGTCACTTGTTGAGTGTGGGATCGACTGAAAGGGACCCGCGCTATTTTTATTGTATTGCTGATAGTTTCAAGCTCTCCTTGGATCTTCTGGAGCTGGAGGAGGATTGGAGGGAGTACTTTTGTGTGGGCTTATGGAGCCGATGACATCTTTGACCGCTCGACCTGGCTGGAGGCAAACATGGAGGCCATAAGGCCAGTTGCTCTTAGTGGTCTGGAGAAGGAGGCCCTGAAGAAGATCTGTTCTTATGCCGGACCTTCGATCGTGGAGGACTTGGTGGAGGACATGTCCATGATCTTGTCTTCAACTGGCTTTGCGGTCAGGGTGAGCTCTCTTATTCCTCCGCCAGTGGAGGTATGTAATAGAGGCTCGAGGTCGAGAGAGAAGGCTCTGCTGGGGAGTCTCGAAAGAGATCAAAAAGGGGGGATTCTAACAGGAGGCTCCTCATGATTGAGGTTGCTCCCTCTTCTGGTGGGGTGAGGGATAGGAGAAGGGACTTGGCCGACTTTATGGATGCAGGGTTTGCTAGGGAATCTTCCCCGAGACCTGGACCGTCTTGTCGACCCGGTAAAGGGCCTCTTGCTTCGGGCAATGAGGTGGATGGCGCAGATGAGTCTTCTCCTGGCCCTGACGGTTACGCTAGCGAGGGAAGTCTGAAGGAAATGTCAAGCAACAACATTCATCAGGCTTTTCAAGCCCCATTTTGATTAGACGATAACCCGTAGGTTTTGCACCAAGGTCTTCATATTTCCCCCAAGGCTGAGAGGCGACTGTGGGAGTCGACCAAAGGGTTATGCCTTGGGTTTATTCCTGATAAGTTACCAAGGGCTTTGAATCCGACTAAGGAGACGTTGTGCCTTGGGCT